CGTTGGGACTAACTGATCCTCCCCCTCTACTGCTTCCCATCAGGGAGGCACTGCAAGCCTCCACCTAGTTCTCGCCATCTGAGCTACTGTATGGGCATCAACCTCGTGGTTTGCTCGACCTAATACTGGAGACCTGGGAACAGGCGCCAACCCAGACCCAGGGGCTCCTACAGTACATCATGCAACTGCAACAACACCTAACCCGGGCCGGGGACCTAGTGAGGGAGAATTTGCAGGCCGTCCAGGGGGCCTAGGCCAGGACTTACAACCAGGGAGCGCACTCGGACCTTTGAACCAGGGGATCAGGACCACGTACTGCTCCCCTCCAAGGAGGCCAAGCTTCTAGCCCGATGGCAGGGCCCACATGAGGTAATCCGCCAGGCAGGCCCCATTATCTATGAGGTCCACCAGTCAGATCAGCAAAAAGAGTGCCGAATCTATCATGTGACCCTCCTGAAATTGTGGCGCAAGCGAGAGGGTCTGCTGATCACCCTGTAATCCTCCCCCTCCCCCCCGAACAGGAGTTGGGATCCCGGGTCCCTGCAGCTGCCAAGCCCAAGGTGCCCCTGCTTGGGGACACCCTCACCAAGGAACAAGTCTGGGCCTAAAAGCTACTCATTCTCCACTAATGGTTTTTCAGCTGTTCACATGCTGTTCTGAACTAGCCTACTAGCCAATCTAGCAATTTACACACCTTAAGTTCCTTCATGGAGCTGGGTATGAGTTGGGTAGAACAGTTTGAGATTATTTGTAAATCTTTTTCATTATTCAACCAATTCTACTATGAAGCCTGCACTTTGGAGAAATAAAGGTCACATGAGGTCACCAGTTTTATTGAATCAAATTTATCCAAGAGAATTGCCAAAACCGAGTGAATTCATAACAAGAGCTGACCACCAAGAGCCACATCCAGCTGTACAGGGGATGGTTGTCTTCTTGTGTGTATTGTAGGCGGAGTGCATGTCAACACCTGTGCTCCAGACTAAAGGTAACATTGCCGGACAATTTCCATTTTAAAGGGATCCTTTCCACCTCTTTATAACTTTTTATCTTTAAGGCTGAAATTTTCTAATTTAGGTGATTAAAGAACAAAATCAGCCAAAATAGGCCAGACATTTGTAAACACAAAGAAAAAGAAAAAAATACACTTTTACCATTCTTAAAATAAAACAAAACACACCTTATACTGAACAGCAATAGCATCTCTGGGGTTTGGTGTAGAAACTAGAAATTTTGCAGAATGGTTGCAGATATGCTCTTAGCACGGAGAAAATCTTTTAGAGAATTGGCCTAGTGCTGAGAATTTAAAAAATGGACTTTGCTAATGACCTATTAATACAGTAATACAAATAATTACAAATAATGTTAGTGTTCAGAAGCCCCCAGTCAGGATTAGGGTCCCACTGTACACTGAGGACTGTACAGACATATATGTTAAAAGATATTCCCTGCCCTGCAAACTCTTACAGTCTAAAAATATATAGGAGTGTGAGAGAGCACACACTCCCCAAGAGTCAAATTACCGGGGTTTCACAGTTCTATTTACAGCTGTATGTTTGTATGAGTGCACATGTGTGATTTTCAGCAGCTGTTATCTCTTATAAGGATGTTTATGTAAGAGATGGAGCTAATAGCAGGGAGGAAGGAGTGGCATTGCTTGAGGGGAAATGAGTGGTGGGAAAGAAACCACTTTCTTCCTCACTCAGGCCTTGAGGGAGTTTGAGACTTGTGTAGATGAGGTTCTGTGGTTTCTGCAGTTCAGTCTGAGTTTTATAAGGATTAATCTCTGTATCTCACATGAGAGACTGTTGGGACCCTTTTTTGTAAACACACACCTGAGACAAATCTCTCTGGATCAGGATATGTGTGTGTTCTTTCCTGTATGCACCAGTCTGTTTCAAAAGCTTCCTCTGCTAGTCAGAAATGTACTAACTCCTGCCCAAGCATGTCACGGGAGAGCTGAGGAAATATTTTTCTAATGAAAAATTATTCATCACGATTTCTGTTTTGAAGACTACAAATGCCAAAGAAATTTCATTTTTGTGAAAAAAAAATCAATTAGAAAAATGTTTTTTTAATTCTTTTCAAATATTTGATTTTTTTTATTCACATTTTAATTTTCATTTTTTTGTCGTCTTTTTCCTTCTGTTTGGTGACTGAACCTTGTCTCATGCTGCCAGGTGGTGTTCCTTGATCAGTGAGTGTGCCCCCACCTACTGGGAGAGTGTGGGATCAGCTCAGCAGACCTGCAGCTCACACAGGGTGAACTGCTGCTGCTCTAGCTATGATGAGCATGGTGCTAGGCCAACACACAGTAAATGACTGACCATCTGCTGGTGGGGTTCCCTATAGGGCAGCTGAGCCACACTCCCTCCAATCTTTGGAGCAAAGGAAAAGTTTGGGGGCTGGTGATTGTCTCACTCTTTGCAGCTGCTTGGCCCGGGGTTTCCATTACACAGGTCTGGATTCTGGACAGGCCTTAAAGATTGTGGAGCTGGGCAACTGCTAGCAGGGTTCCCTGCTGAGCTGTGCCCCTTCCACATCCTCTCACATCAGCCTCCCCCTCTTCCTTCCCTCGTGCCCTCTTCCCACCCTTTCACACTCCATAGGGGTTATAGCTGTGACATTTCCAGTATTGCCAACCCAAAAGTTCAAAAATCATGAGTCAGGGCCCACAAATCATTACACTGGCCCCAAACCAAGTTTTTAAAAAAATATTGTATTGCATTTTTTGCTTAACTTTTGATTGTTGAACGCCCCCTGCTTATACCCAGTGGGTCTGTGTCAGTCCATCCGTGTGTGTGTCCATGTCCCTATGACAATTAGTGTAGCCCCCTCGCTTGAATTTATTAAGGTGATTTTTGGCCCCTGCTATGGGAACTCTCACCCCCACATCAGCCTATCCCCTGCCCAGCAATTCATTCTGCTTTTCAACCCTGCTTCAATCCTGCCCCCACATCAGTTCTGCCCTCCCACCTCACCTTTGCTCCTCCTGCAGCTCCAGGCTGAAGTTGTCCCACTGGAACAATCCCAGGCTTAAGAACAGTCTGATATTGCATCCAATCCTATCTTCCAGGAATAATGAAAAACTTGGGAAACACACTAGCATGCCATTAAAGCAGCTGTTCTAATCAGGTCCTTTCATTGCTTTCTACGGCTGCTTTATTCGGAGCTACCACAGGGCTATCACCCTGTAGGCATGGTAGAGGCATCTTGAAGGTCCAGAAGTTGCCCCCCAGCATCCACACCAGGATTTTGTGATTCCCTCAGATGAAATCTACTCCCAGTACAACATCATTGGAAATGTTGGTCACCACAATAAAATCCCATTTAGTATGGTGGCCCTACTGCTGCAGCAACTTCTAGTTTCTCTGGGTGCGGCTTCCCACTGTTGGGCAATTTCATCTCCCAAGGTCTTTGCCTCTGCATCACCCGCAAACGTCATCTGGCCTGGGACCCACTCGGGAAACAGTCTCTCTCTGACCCACCAGAGGTCCGTGCACAACTTGCACCTGGGCCTCCTCCAATTTTTTAGCCATTTCCCTTGCAATCTTTTCTAGAGTTGCTGCACAGGAGTCACACTGGGGCTGGGAATTAACAGCTGATCCCTTTAAGGAAACATAACTTTCTACTTCCACATTTGTAACTCCGTGTATAATTTGGCCCTTAGGTTTGTCCAGTATGTGATCTTTCTTCATCAGCAGCTTATGAAGATCCTCTGTTGAACAGTTTATAAATGGGATTCTCTCACAGCTCGCCCCTAGGCATAGGTCCCCTCTCTGCATTGCCAGTTCCAGATTCAGATGTTCCCCTCCCTGCCACTTCCTGGCTTGCCATTCCTTCCAGTATTTCAAAACGATGAATCTCAGCCCATGGTGGTCATACAAATGTTCTTGTTACTGTCTATAAAAACCATGATCCACACAGGGAAGGTGCTGGTAAAATTAGTTGGAGTCACCATCCAAACTGATTGTGTGGGTCCTATCCTGCTTTAGGGTAATTGCGGTATTCTCTGAACTGAGCATTGACCTAAAGCTGGTACATCCTAGGGACAAGGATCAAGGAAAGAAAGGGGGTGGAGGGGAAGGGGTGACTGATTCAGTGCCGAATGAGACTAAAGGGAGTGGTGCCAACTTTCCTTTTGTTTTTCCTGTAATGGGCTGAGTAATTGGGAAGGTGTTGTGAGGTGGACGGGGCAGAGGGACGCTCTGTCCTTTAAATGGTACAGTCCCCTTCTTATTTACCTTCCCCTTACTCGCAAAGGAGAGGTGTGTGGGGTTTTTTTAATCCCAGTGCTCATGTTTTATGTAGTATGGAAATTTGTGGAAGACCTAGTGAAATAGTGCTCTTAAAATCCAACTAGGATTGGAAAAGCAGGGGGGCTGCAGGGCAGGATTGAGAAACATTGGCAGAGCTGGGTGGGGAGCCCAGGACTGGAATAGCAGGGGGGCTGCAAGGCAGGCCTGAGGGCCACTGGCAGAGCCATGAAATAGATACTTTGCCTTGCCCACAATATTCCTGATGGTTCACCCAAGAGTCATGCACAACTCCATTGCCCTTTTGTTACTGTCTTTTTGGGATTGCCTCTCGCTCTAACTAAAAATTGCACACATCATTGCTTACATAGGCCTAGCAATCCACCTAATGGAGAGACAGCAGCATATTAAACAGCTGCCTGTGATTTGTGTAGGCAGCAGCAGGGGGCACCAGAGATTTCTCTGCCTGCAGCAAATGGGCATGCTTTAGGCTTGACTTTAAATTACACATGCACCAGTAGAAATCAGGCTTTTCCAGTTATCCATGTTTCTTCAAAATCTGCAAGGTTCTGCCCACTGATGCCTAGAACATTCCCTGAAATTTTGGAATTGGTCAGCTGGGGTGTTCATAAGTTAGCATTTCCCTTTTGTAGTGCAATAATATTGAGTTTACTAGCAATAAGTGTTCTTCAGTTTCATGCCACTAAAGTGTGCAGAGAGAACAAGATAACCAGGACCCAGGCATGTGGAATTTGAGAAGTTTATTATGGGGAATGTTACATGCTTTGACCAACTACTGTTCTCAGTCTGAGTGTGGAACCAGGGTCATGTGTGGTCTTATAGATCTGGAGGGAGTTCATGGAGGGGATATACACACTAGGGTTGAATCTAGCCAAGTTACCTACTACACAGTCACAGCGTGCAGTCAGTCAGATTGTAAGTGTAACGTTTACTAACAGTCTATAGTTAGAGGGAAATAAGCTGTCTGGCTTCTTTTCTCAGTTCACATTCCACATTTGTCCTGTGAAGAAGAAAAAACAGAGTAAAAACCATGAGTGACTGTAACAGGGTGATGCTCTGTCCATCCTCTGATGCTCCAGAAACTGCTCAGACCCACTTTCTTTTAGCGTTCAGTCTGTATTTTATTCCAAACCCTTCCACCAACACTAGTACAGGGCAACATCACAGTTTTTAATCCTACATCTTTCAATCCATGTTTACCAGGGCCCTAGGAGAAAGAGATTTCCTTGTCTTGGGAACTCTTTCAGTCTGGACTCAGCTAGCCAAGTCATCCTTTCCTTGTAGCACTTCCTTCCTGTCTTATCAGGTTAGCCAGCTGAGGTCTAATTTGTTTCTTACCTCCCCAGCCTCTCCTTCTGATTGGCTAATTGCACTAGCAGCTGTCCCTGGGGGAACTAATTGAGGCTAAAGCCATGAGGGTCCCTCCGGTCAGACCTCAGCACTCTGTCATAGCAATGAAAAGGGGGAGTCTGCACCAAAAAGAGCCCAATTTTCTCCCCAGAAAATGTCACTCTGTACCGCTAAACAGGCTAGTCCTGAAAGGGGGGTTCTATTAATTACATGAAACATCAGCCTGTTTGGGCCCACGCAGAGCAATCCTACATCCCCACCTATGTGCTCTCCTTCACTACTGTAACTCTGTGGACTTCATGGGAGTTACTCTTGATTTATGCTGGAGCGAGAGAGATCAGAATCTGCCCCATTGGCTTTAATGGGAATTCTAGTTGTGCCAGGAGGGAAAAAATCCACACTTAATCCCACTTCCTTTTGTTTCTTGCTCTATAAACCACTGCAGCTGCATGAAACTGCAGCTGTAGAATTCAGCACAGAGATTTTCACCGTGTTTTAGACAATTTCATGCCCTGCATGTTTCACTTTTCCATGAAGCTCCCTGAAGTGGCTGTTACAGGATCAGCACCGTGAGACATTTCAAATCCTGAATATGCAAGAGTTCCGATCCTAGAGTCACCTTCAGCTGATGTGTGGGATTTTCAAAAGTGCCTCAGCAGTACACTGCCCACTGACTTTCAATAGCACGTGTGCTCCGAAGTCATTTAGTTGCTTTTGAAAATCCCACCTGATGGGCCCATTTTCTGCTCAGGAATAGGTTTATTTTCACTGTAAAAAGGGATTCATTTCCAAGCCCAACATCTGCAAAATCCTGTATATTTTTCCAGTGACATGGGCTCATTTCCAAATACCTTACAAACTGTCTCAGAGCATTTTGGATTTGGAACAGCTCTTCCTTTCATTTAACTACATCTCTGCATGCCACCGACTCTCTCCTCCCCCCACCTTCCCCTCTCCCCACTCTTATCTCTCTCTATGTAGAGTATCACTCACATGTTGCTCTAATCGCTGCAGACCTGCAGCTGCTTTCCGGGTGAGATGTCTGACCACAGGCTGTGCTGCACTCAGCAAGACGTGTTTGCCTGGAAAAGAAAAAACCCAAATGTCACATTCTATCAAACCACTGCTATAACCGCCACATAAATGTCCCCTGCCCCAATTACAGAGTATTCCCAACTCACAAACACCTTTGAGAAGTTGAAGGCTGTGTGATGCTTCCCAGAGGTATCCATGGATGTGAGGGACCTCGCTACCCCCCCACCCTGAGCATGAGGAAGCCTTATCTGCACCTGCTGTGGGTCAGTTCCCCAACACCACCAGCCCCTGGCAAGACAAGCACTACCTTCCAGGCCCTGCTCTCTTTATTGGTTAATGAGAGATACACTCCAACCCTTGAGCCATCCAAGCATCCACCTGCAATGCTAAGCCCCTGATCCACTGGACACTGTCAGCTTCTCCAAATCTGCCGTTCCCAATGAGCAGTACAGCACAGCGGATCAGTTACACCGTAGAACACAGCTCTGCTTTACACACAGCACTTAGATTTGTTTACAGAGAAAGTTTTTTTTTTTTAATTTCTGCTCTTTGTTTAAGTGATAAAAAGCAGAAATTTTGGAAACAAAGTGTTACATATTAAATAAAATCGTAACATGCATTCTAGAGCCTATACTTTACTTATCATGTCAGATAGAGCAAAAACTCACCCCAAATCCTTCCAGTGTATTACAGCCAACCTAGGCTGTGATTTTCCATTCATGATACAAGTATGCTGACCTCTTGCCTCCTCGGTGGAAAGATGCAGAGTTTGTTTCTGTCCCTACAGCTGTAGTTTAAAAAAAAAAAAATCCATTGTCTTCACTAGAGACTTTGCAATCACTTGATTAGCATTTTGCTCAGACTGTAAATAGGTGTTCATTCTGAAGTATACAATACTCAATTTAAATGTAGACAGACCAATAGATAAATATTTTCTGGCTGAAAGAAACTTGCTTATCCACTGCTGGTAGGTGCACCCAACTCACAGAACTTAAAACATAATTTTCATTATATATACATAGCTCCTTACATATTAACCACACATACATTTTGCAATGATTATGATGGCCAGTGTGATACAAGATTTCAGTAGAGATCTTGCATCAGACTCTGACAAAGTACTATGTAAATACCAGGCCCAGGGGGATCCCTGTAACACTTATGCATCCCTGTGTCTTCCACCAGTTGGCACCAAGAGTTCCCCTGGCTCACAGCCTCCCTTGTTTCAGAATGACCTGTCTTCACAGCTGATCTATAAACTCATGGGCAGAATCTGACATGTTCAGTAAGTCACTAAATATTTGATGAAACTCTCTTGAAATCTCCCCATTTTGGATTGATCCCTTCCCAAGGCAGAGCTACAACATACCACACAGTGTCTGGTGAGTTCCAGTGAGTCCACTGGCCGCACCTGGGAGGGACATGGGGCTAACATCCAACACACAGGCTGGTTGTGGCCCTTTGTCAATTGTGGTAAGGTACCAGCAGCAAAGTGCAAATAAACATCACCCAGTTTAGTGGAAATAGACAAGGATCTCAGCCAGGCCTCCTACCTCTTTTATAGTAACTGTAGATCAGGACTGAAGCTGGTTTGATGTTGGACACAGGAAGTTCTTGCTCAGCTGAGAAAGATAAACTGATATTCTTCTGAGAGACCTGGGAATGGGAGGACAGTGGATAGCATTAGATGTTTTCTTTTAATATCAATTTCTCTTCACCAAAGACCTACTGACGTGGATTCCAAATACATAGGGCTCTCATCTTGCACGGCAGAGGTGAGAGCCCAGAGAGTCCCTGTTCATCTGATCAGTTTCTTTACAGTTGTCTTGTTAAGATTTTTGGCCCTGAAACTAAAAATTTTCAAAAGGCATCAGTTTAAAGCTTGTAGACATATATAACACCAGAGGGAAAAATCTCTCTCTGAATTTATGTTCTCCATGTAGAAGGGGACACAGCTGTTCTTGGTTTCCACCTGCATCATCACACAATCATCCTAAAGCTTTAAACAAGGAAATGGGAAAGAGGATCCATTATTAACAAGCATTAAATATAAGAGGCATCCCAGATCCTGCAGAAATGCCCATGTGAATGGCACTGGAGTGGGTTACCTATGGAGGTGGTGGAATCTCCTTCCTTAGAGGTTTTTAAGGTCAGGCTTGACAAAGCCCTGGCTGGAATGATTTAGTTGGGGTTGGTCCTGCTTCGAGCAGGGGGTTGGACTAGATGACCTCCTGAGGTCCCTTCCAACCCTGATATTATGTTTCACCACTTCTATTCCTGTGAAACAACAGTGGCATCTAGTGGTTAAAGTGGGAACTGCAAAATAATCACTGGAGGCAAATTTTCAAATGTATTTTAATACCTAGATACCTATAAAATCTGTCTCTTGGTTGTGTGTGTGTGTGTCCCCTAAGTGGGTTACTGGTTGTATGGAATGAAGGGGATGGCAATGTGTCCTGAGCCAAGTGGACTCCAGTGAATGCCCTCATGGCTCAGAACGCTGGTTGGCTGGCCTGGTCCTTTCCTTTTATCCAGCCCAGGGTATAACAGCCTGTAACCCCCTCTGCCCCTGGGGTGGTTTATTCACGTCACTCCCATCCTTTACCTTCTACCAGGATGATCTGAAGGGATGAAGCCTGAGAGCATCTTGCCATCAACAATGGCCATGCTGGAGCTATTGCACGTCCTGGCATAACTGAAATGAGAGAGACTGGATCAGTCTGGACCACGAATGAGGAGGAAACGTTCTGCTCCAGAGCACAAATAGCCTGTGAAGATCTTTCTGATTTACCTGTTGCACTGTGATAACTTAATGACATGGAAGAGAGAGAGAGAGGGTAGCGAAGGGCCCCCTGGAGGGACAGGGCTTGAGTGGAGGCCTCTTAATACAGTACCTGGTTTCTATGGTGCTGGTGCTCTATAAACACCTAGAGACAGAAAGGGTTTTGCCATGAAGCACAGCAAGTTCCATGCAGGGTGAGGGAGCTAATGTTCCAAGTGTTTCACTAGGACCATAGTACAGGGACATGATCCAAAATTATTGGACTTTGTTATCTGGGGGCTTGTGATGGGTTGGACTAGGCCCAAAGGCCCCCTGCTGGAGGCCTCAGGGTTTGCCACACCCATCCCAGGAAAGGAGCTGTGGAGAGATCCTCCAAGCGGCTTAGAGTGGTTGCGCGGAAGCAACCAATTAGAGGAGCTGCTAGAACAGCCAATCAGGGGCCGGGAGGGCCATATAAAAGGAGCTGCAGAACAGATCAGCAGTTAGTTGCTGTTTGGAGCTGGAAAAGAAAGGACTGTGTGCCTGGCTGAAGAGCAGCAGGCGCACAGACAGCTAAGTGAGGGCAGGAACTGGGGCAGTAAGAGGCTCCTGGCTGGCTGCTAGGACTGAGCCAAAGACAATTTGCTAGGAGGGACCGGGGGAGCAAAGAAGGAGCTCCTGGCTGGATGCTGGGACTGAGCCCGGCTGTAGGAAGGTCGTGTCTCCAGGGACGAAGCGCTGGGGATATGGCCCCATACCAGGGCTGGGACTACTTAACGACTGAGCCCAAGGAGGGCTAAAGGGGTGCAGGGAGTAAAGGTGAATCATCCCCATTATAAAACAGCACTAACACTGTACCCAGCTATTTAGTATATATATGCACTGCAGGGCATTGTTGGATGAATCAGAAATGCTTAGTTGTGTATCACAGGCTCTATACTGCTAACATCTAGTGGAGAATCTCCTTTTACTCCAGTCATTGAGGCCCAGATTTTTGGGGTAGGAGAAGCCAAGTCCTATGCACACAGTCATAGTGCTGCCCTGAGGGGCCATGCAGTTCAGCAGAGTGACAACAGGGAAGTCCTTGGGTGCCCCAGATTTGTAACAATATTTATAATCGGTAATCCTGTTTTAAACCCTCCTCTCCCCCGTTTCCCAGTTGGCTGGTTCTTGTCATTCAGGGAGCTGGGGCAATGGTGGGAAGTGACTTGTCTGAAAGGAGCAGATCAAACTTTGCTGCAAGGCTGCTGTGCAGGAAGCATTCACTGTCGGCAGAGAGAGATTGAACCCAGATGTCTTTTTGGGCACGAGAATCTCGTATCTCAGGATTGTCTATAACAAAGGGAAAATAATCCTGACAATAAAACCCCAATCACTCCCATCCTGCCTTTAACACTGTGGCATTTCTCAAACACCTTTCGGACAGATCTGCCTCTATCCTCTCTTTTCCACATTAAGTTCAGATCCAGATTCAATTTTGACTCATACTACAGCACAGAGACTCCTCCTGGCAGATGACTGTATCTGCAATGGAGACACAATCCATTGCAGTTAATGTCCCCCAGAAACCTCACTGCCTGGGAAAGAGGAAAACCAAAAAGAGCGCAATAGGATGTAATTGGCATAAATTTCACTTGGAAATGAATCTACTTCTCTGAGCAGGATGATTGAAAATGATGCTGCCATCATGGAGACAACTTACAATGGAGTGACTCATTTGCTCTGGACAGACAGCAGTGGGAAAAATGGGTTGCCTCATGTACCACTCGGAGATTCTAAAGCTAAAAAAATAAATCTACTCTTCTGAGTGCAGAATTGATCTGAAGAGGCTTAAGAAAAAGAGTTCCTTCAAAACAGTGAAGGAAACACAGGAACAGGATACATGAAAGAAAGAATGAATAAAGAATGAAACAAAAAGCCTAAGAAACAATGAAACAAAGAACAAAAGAAACAAAGAAAGAATGCATGTACCAAAGAACAAAAAAGAGGCAAACTCAAGAATGGTTCCTTACTGAGTGGAGCTGCCCCATAGTGAGGGGCAGTGGGCTGGGGATCTTTGAGCTGCACATAGGGTTTGACTACACTTACATGTTATAGCGCTCTAACTTGCTGGCTCAGGGGTGTGAAAAATCACCTCCCTGAGCGCAGCAAGTCAGAGCGCTTTAAAGGGCTAGTGTAAACAGCTATCCCTCCAGGGGGAGGGATAGCTCAGTGGTTTGAGCATTGGCCTGCTAAACCCAGGGTTGTGAGCTCAATCCTTGAGGGGGCCATTTAGGGATCTGGGACAAAAATCTGTATGGGGATTGGTCCTGCTTTGAGCAGGGGGTTGGACTAGATGACCTCCTGAGGTCCCTTCCAACCCTCATATTCTATGATTCTAAGTGCTGGGAGCATGTGGAGGTGGATTACTGGGAGAGCTCTCTCCCAGCGCTCGCGCGCAACCACACTCGCACTTCAAAGCGCTGCCCCAGGAGCGTTCCCGCAGCAGCACTTTGAAGTTTCCAGTGTTGCCATGCCCATAGACACAGCCATTGCCATTCACATACAGGGAACATCAGGCAGGGCAGTCTGCTGAAGCAGCAGGCGGTTTTTGCTGTCCACTTGCAAGCTCCTTTTGAAGGATTTGCTGGAGTGGATTTTGATGGAGTTTTGGCTGTCCTTGGTCCTTAGTGTGGATGTAATATTAGGGGCAGTGCAATATAACAGGCATTCACAGTGTTTTGCGAGAGTCCTAGCTACCAGTTCACACCAAGGGTTTGTTTTACGTGGGGGTATTCTGAGCATATCATGTTAGCTGGGAACTGAGGGAGACACTGTAGATTCCCTCCCTTTGCTGCCCTCCCTGCTGGTTCTAGTCTCAGCAGTACAGAATTTGGAGAGATGCCCTTACCTTTTGTGCAGAGGAGGGAGCTCTGGGTCATCTCCTTTTTGATGCATTCAGGCTGCTCAGCACAAAGGGGGGGCGGGGGGAGACACAAGCAGATGTGACTTCATGAAATGCTAAACATGGTGTTCTGGTCTACCCT